GGGGGGGGGGGGGAAAGGACGAAGAAAATAACTTATCTCTCTTGGTTTGAAGGTTTTCAGATCTGTATATATTTGTATTGTATCATACCAATACAGCATTACTGTGTGAGATTTAAGATATTCATGGCAGTGATTGAACATTACTGTCTTTTGGGGTATGACACCATGCGGTTTGGTAGATAGGTATCAAAATTTCAGAGGAACGCATGTCCTTCATCTTCAGGATGGTATCTGTCTATGAAACTACATGGTGTCGCTTCTGAAAAGGCAATAATCTTCATTTATCAGTAGACAGTATAATTTTCAACGCCTCTGATACACACTGTGCAACACCATTACAAAAATAGACTTGTACTAGAAACTGGAGTATAGTACCTTCCAAATGTTGCGAGGCACAATACGTATGCGCATATCTGCATCATGTCTGGGAGGTTTAAACATCTACTTTACTTTCACATTGCAATTTTCTTTGGGTGTTGTTCTTAAGTTACAGTAAAGTTGTCCCTGTGCTTAACTAATTAAGCACTACACCATGAAGGCGTATGGGGGAGTGGATGTATAGATCTATATGTTCTTGACCTTGGCACTAGTTGGAGGTGAGTGGTCAGCTTCAAGCCCCATCTGCTTTACCCCCAGGAAAGAGCTGCTGATACCCACTGTCTAGGAGGTTGGTGGACCTCAGAGCCGGTCTGTACGTGGAGGAGAGAAAATTCTTGACCCTATGGGACTTCAACTCTGACCCCCCAGTCGTTCAGCCCATACCCAGTTGCTATACCGACTGAGCTATCCCAGCTCCCCTTTTAAGTTACAATAGTGTAATAATGTGCCAACAGTTGTCAGCTTTACACACATTAGCTGATATATGTGTATGGTATAAGTTAACTTTTATGATAGAATTTAGGTCAAAATACTTATATTGGCCGTATTTGAATTTATATTACGCACTTTTTTGGAAAATAAGTGTCAGAACGTGTCTTCTATTTTGAGTAAAGTGCTTTTCTATCTCCATAGGTAATAAGTGAAGCAGAATCTCCATCCGTGTTGAGCATTGCATATCAAATCTCTGATGAGGCTGTAACATCTCTGAAGGCGGAATTTAAGGTTGAAGAGGATGCTGAAGAAATGGGATTTGGCTCTGAAGCAGTTAGGTTAGTTTGTCATTTTCAAATTCATGATCAGCATCATAGATTCAACACCACTGGTTTATTGTGGTCCTAATCAATTCTGTTTATTCCAATATTTCATAGCTTTTCAGAGAATCTTTATGTTGCTATATTGTACTGTTATATTAATGAATTTTTAATCTCATAGACGTTTGTTCTTTGTACAGATGTTTAGAAGGTTCAGTAGTTCACTTTTATGGTGGCTGTTAATAGATTTTGAATTATATAATACTGGATTTCCTTGCAAAGCTGATTAAGGGAAGAGTTCAGACCAGGGAGTTAACTAGACATTCAGATAACTTGTGTTTGTAAATTATAACTTGCATGCAGTCCTTAATTTTGGTCTGAAGTCAACAATATTCATTGCTAACTTTGCTTTTTGTGCAGAAGTGAGGAAAATGGTAACAAGCCACATACAGAGTCCATTCATGCTCTGGCATAATGAACATTCATTACATTAAGTGGGTTACAAAACAGTCATATTGATAAACCTTTCTTATTGCAGTGAAATAACAGAGAAACCATCAGAAACTGAACAGTTTAATTCAAGTTGCCAGTGTTCAGCATGTGGAATATTCTTCCCAAAGAGAAGAGATTTGAATGATCACATGTGTGTATGTACTGGAGATAAACCCTTTCAGTGCCCATCTTGTGTCAAATGCTTCAGTTCAAAATATCACTTGAAGCGTCACAGTGTTGTCCATACAGGTGAACGTGCTTACCAGTGTTCTATATGTGGAAAGTCATTTAATGACAAGAGTAATGTACAGCAACATATGAGAGTGCATACAGGAGAGAAACCATATCAATGCCTGAAATGTAAGAAGTCTTTCACTTGGAAAACGCAGCTTGAGAACCATATAGGCGCCCACAAAGTGAAATCTTGTTTTCGATGTTGTATCTGTAATATGTATTTCAAGAACAAAATTGACATGGATGAGCACACATTTTCACATATTGGAGAAAAACCATATCAGTGCTTGTCATGTGCTAAAAGTTTCAACTCAAAATATCGTCTCAAGAGACATAGTGTTGTTCATACAGGAGTAAAAGCATATGACTGCAATATGTGTGAAAAATCATTTAATGACAAAAGTAACTTACAGCAACACATGAGAATTCATACTGGAGAGAAGCCGTATAAATGTTCAACATGTGAACAGACTTTTACGTGGAAAAATCAGCTTGAGAATCATATCCCTGTGCATACAAATGAAAAATATTACTGTTTTATATGTCATAAAAATTTTAAATTCAGAAGTAGCCTGATTCAGCATGCAAGGTATGATTTGGGAGGACACAGATGTTCTCTCTGTGGTCATATGTTCACTTCTCAGGAGGATTTACACTCTCATAAACAAGCTCATGTTACTGAACCCAAATAATTGTACTCTGTCACAGCAGCCTGTTATTCTACATTCCATTTGTTACAGTTTGGTTTAGTTATCTCTGAATATTTCATGCTATGCAGAATTCTTGGTTTCCTGTATTGACTACATAGTAATATGCATATATATCTATTAAATTATTTGTCAAGAAACTAGGAAAATATGAATTTACATTCCTAACCAATTCTGTTTTCCTTTTTTCATACTCTCTCCCCCTCAGTATTAACTGTAACATGTCAATAAAATTTTGACTACTATTAGGTTACAAACGCTCTTTGAATTGTCTGATAAATTCATGACTCTTCTTTACTTGGTTATGAATGAGCTACCCCCCACCCCCACCCCCCTCCAAAGGAGTAACACAGCTATAAAGCATAATTGAAAGTACCAACGCACTTTCCAGTGTTAGAAGTTTACCTTCATGACCCACAGCTTTCTGCCAGTAGTGAAAGAACTTATTTCTTATAACACCAAAACAGTCTGTCTTAATTCTTCTGTGGCATGTACAATAGGTTGTTCATTTCTGACATATCTGTGAGCATGTTGCTGCACCAGTGCATCATATATGATGTGTCCCACAATATTGTGAATGATCCAAGATATTGGAAGATGGTTCAGCTGAGATTCAAGCTGAGACCCTGTTGTAACTCATCCATGCTAGTTTCTGATCAAGGATACTAACAAAAGTCTACAGTGATGCAACATCTATACATAAAATGAAAAAGAAAAACAGAAAACAAATGAACAAGTAAAGAGTGATATAATTGCTTACGTCAGAGTGATTCACTTGGAGGAGGACCTAAATTAAAAATTATAAACTGTGCAGTAATTTACAAAACTCTGTGATTTCAGTCTGCAAGTGAACTGTACCGACCGAGCGACCGCTGCTTGTCGGCGAAGTTTAGTGCCAACTTTTGCGGATAGAGGCTGTCGCGTCATCAGCGCGACGAATCCCCATGGCCGTTAATTTCGGTTCTCAAAATTTTGGAACACCATGTTCTTCATAATACTGGTTTGGTACCTGCCTTCCCAGTTTGTGCCAGTTCCTTCAGCTTGTGAATTCTCATGCCAAAACATGTGTAAACATGGAATGGCATGTCAGACTCTGTCTCCAGGTGAAGGGAGACCATTTGAACATTGTCTGTATCCCGTTATCTCCACATATACCAAGGTATGTACCTGCCAAGTTTTATTTTCACCAGTACATTATAGAGTGATTTAAAATTATTAATTTGTAGCCTCCTATGAGTGAATCACCCTACAGTTTAAGTGGTTGTCTGAGCACACGTATTTGATTTGGAGCTTGCAGCAGCGAACTTGAACTGGCAACACAGCATGTCTCATAGAGGCTAGTAGGATATCAGAGGCCATGTCTCAAATATTAAGAGGTTTGAATCCTGGCGTACCCAACAGAAAGGTAACGATTTTCACCCCTTCTTAGAAGACTGCTGGGCAGTGTGAATGTTGAGATTGATAGATGCCAATCTAGTGCTCTGACTTCATGATTGGATACTGTTGATGATGATGATGATGATGAAGTAAATGCTGTGCACCATACATGCATTTCTTTTTTAAATTCCTTATTCATCTAAATTGTGTCTGAAAAATGAAGTCTTCCGTTAGCTTTCTTATTAGCTTGACTCAGGGTCGTCATTGCTTTCATGCTGGATGTGGTGCCATATAGTTTGATACGGAATATTGCAGAAAACTGTAATCTTAATATTCTCTGCCATTAGATCAAACAAATCTGATATAAAGAAAGCAGTCTTCTGGGATTTGGCGCCGTGTATATGTGGTGTTAACCGACGTTTCGGAGGATCGTATCGCCTCCATCTTCAGGGTAGCGACAAGACCGTGAGAACGGTAGACGTGTCTACCGTTCTCACGGTCTTGTCGCTTGCAGAATTCTTACACTTTTTCTTCTACCCTGAAGATGGAGGCGATACGATCCTCCGAAACGTCGGTTAACACCACATATACACGGCGCCAAATCCCAGAAGACTGCTTTCTTCATAGTCACCACCGTGAAAGCCTCAAATCTTACAAACCTGATATAATTTCAGTAATCTATAAAGCACTAGTATCTTATGAATGGTGGCATGAATGTATGTGTTCAGAGGTGCATGAGCATCCATGCCTATATGTGCATGTGTAGGAATCAGACTAGATAATCTATTGTTTAACACAGCATAAAATTAATTTAAAATAGGTGTTCCAGATTATATTTTCTGATACACTGTAAAAGACTTAATAAGCACAGCAGTAGATATTGTGTTAAAAGAATCTGTGGGCCATATATGGTCCTTTTAGAAACTTAAAACAATAGTAAAAACATTATAGCTCGAACGTGAGATATCACTGGAGTGGAGTCAGTTTGTCAGTGAGTTAGATAACTGCTGGGATTCAGTTGTTGTGAGCTGTTGCTGAGGCCAGGGACAGTTCGGGAACCCAGAGGAAGGGGAGCATCCACCATTCGAAGTCGCTACTGAGCAACGGCTAGTGAAGACACAGCAGGCTGAGAAGACTTATGTGTGTGCTCTAGTGAACTGTAAAGTGTGTGAATTAGTGAAACAGTTAAGTCACTTATAGTCACGTATCTTTAATTACCAATCCAAACCCCATCTATGGTCACTAAAATTGTGACAGTATATTATCGCGATCATCTCATAGAATGTTCGGCAATACGCCAAAATGATGGAATGTTTTTTGTTCTTTGTAATAAAGTACACATTGCTGCAGGGTGTGTAAAATGGTAATGGGAATGTTATGATGATTAGAGGTGGGTGCAGAACATTCATTCATTCATTCATTCATTTAATGCATTCTGTTAATCCATACAAGGTCAAACCAACCTATGGGATATAGAACCCGTCAAGATACAAATATAATATAAACATAAAATAATGATATATACATACATTCATAAAGAGCACAATAAGGACATCAAGTAAAACACAGTATTGCATAACAGCAGTGTCACAAAACACATTTTGATCAAAGACACAAAGCAAAACACAGTATTGCACAACAGTCTCACAAAACACAGTTTGAACAAATACACAAGATAATAGTGAAGACAATGAAACATGAATGAATTGAACTTACAGTGGGAAGACCTCCCACAACTAATCAAAATGTACAAAGGGCAAGAAATATAAAAAGAACCATATTCATTAGGAAGTTAATTGGTAATATTCATCAATATTATAGAATGCTTGTTCTGTAAGGTAGGTTTTTAATGAAGATTTGAAATGCTTAATATCTTTAGATAGCATTTTAATATTTAATGGTAAGTGGTTATAAATCTTACTTCCAGAAAAGAGTACTCCTTTCTGTACAGATGATAGATTTGTAGAAGGCAAGTGTAAATTGTGGTTGTAACGAGTATTACTATCATGAATATCAGAATTAGATATAAAGCAACTTCTGTTCGTGATGACAAAGACAAGTAGTGAGAATATGTATTGAGACTGAAGTGGCAATATTTGTAATTTTTTTAAATAATTCACGGCATGAGTCGTATCTACCTGAACTAGTAATAACTCTTATTATTATTTTTTGAATTTTAAAAATACTGTCACTGAGATAAGAATTACCCCAGAAGATAATACCGTAAGATAGAATAGAGTAGCACAAGAAATAGGAACAACTATCATAGGTATGTACATAATTTATAACTTCATAAGAGTAAACCATTAGTAATAGAAGGTTGTTTATTCTACACCAGATTGCCCATCAACATAAAAGAAATTTATAATTACTCTTTTAAAAATTGAAATTGCTATATGTTTCGGCTATTCTCAGGTAACTATCCAGGTTGTCATAATTCAATTCAGTTCAATTTGATTTCATCCATGGATCATTATACATGATATGGGACAAGTCAAAGATTAATATTAATACTAATACTAAATAATAATAATAATACAGAAATAATATGACAATATAATAATAAATGACTATAATAATTTAGCAGTCTTGAAAACAGTTTCTGTGGTCTTGAATCCTCGTTAAGATGGCACCAGGCACATAATTCCCAGAAGCAGTCACGAAGTGTTATTTCCTGGAGAGATAAATGAACTGAGCAGTAAGCGTTCTCATGACTTATATTATTCAACACTATGAGGCTAATTGATTCTTGGAATATATAATTTAGACTGACTAGAACTCTTTTCTAAAAAATAAAATACTCGTCTACACAGTAAAAATAATAAATGAACCGAGTGGTAAGCGTTCTCATGACTTATATTATTCAACACTATGAGGCTAATTGATTCTTGGAATATATAATTTAGACTGACTAGAACTCTTTTCTAAAAAATAAAATACTCGTCTACACAGTAAAAATAATAAATGAACTGAGTGGTAAGCGTTCTAATGACTTGTATTATTCAATACTATGAGGCTAATTGATTCTTGGAATCTTGGAATATATACTTTAGACTAACTAGAACTCTTTTCTAAAAAAGTAAGACACTCGTCTACACTGTAAAAGCAATGATCAAACAGGAAGTTTTTCAAAGCTTTCTTGAATCTGTTTAGTGCTGGTGTCTCCTTAATGTAATATGGTAAATGATTGAACATATGAAGTGCAGTATTAATAAAATTGCCTTTGCATAAACTGGTAGTACATGAAACAATATATAGGTCATCTTTTCCCCTTGTATTATATGAATGTATTTCCGAAATGGTTGCAAGAGTATTCAAATTTGATTCTGTGTATACCAGAGTTTCATAAATATACAAGCATGGTAAGGGCAATATATTTAAATAATTAAAATACTGTTTACAACTAGTAGTCTCCTGAATTTGCATCATAGCTCTTTTTGCAACTTAAAAATCAATTTAGCTTTTGGTGAGTTGCCCCAGAATAGTATTTCATATGATAACAAGGAATTCAATTCAGTTCTTTATTATTAATGTGCCGAGTCAACAGCCGCAAGGCCAATTACAGACACAGCACAGTGCAGATGAATGAATTACATTATAGACAAACTTATTAAAAGTCAAATACAAATTACAGTTAAGTACTTGGAAGAAATAATAATGAATAAAAGTAAAAGTAAACAAACAAATAAGTGATAATTATAACAGTAATAATAATTTCATTATCATTAAACTAAGTGCTATTACGAATTGAGGAATGAAACATAAATATTTAATTAAGAAATGAATAGTATAGATTTTCAGAGGATAATATACGTAATTCATTTTGTTTTACTGAACATGCAAATAATAAAAATACTAACAGTTATACTATATTTAAAATTTGTTTGGGTAGAACATTCCTGGCTCCGAATACGTCAACATCCCTGCAGACAATATTAGCAGCTGCTGCACATCTAGCAGAGGGACAATATTTAAATAAAGAGCAAACACTGAACAATGCAAAATCTCTGATATACCGAGCAGGAACTCGGAGACCAACAATTTCCAGGACAGAAGGGCAGAATTTAGAGCCAAAATAAACTTGAATAAGAAAGAGAGCATCAAGGCGATGTCTCCTAGTACATAACGTATGTAATTTTAACTCCTCAAGAGCAAGTAGGCATAATATAGAGTACGAACAGACTCCAGCCCTGATACTCTTTTTACTACTCCTAGACCAAAGCATATTTTACATAACTGTTTTGCCAGTTCCTGGGTATGCATAGACCACCTTAAACTCTTATCTATCCAAACTCCCAGAAATTTTGAATGTTCTGAATATTTAATGGATGTATCATGAAACTTTATTGGAGGGCATTGAAAATGTAGATTTTGAGGCTGGTGAAAGGATATTGCTATTGTTTTCTCTTTATTAATGATTAATCTATTCCTTTCAAACCATTCAGAAAGTTTATTTACTGTTTCCTCTACTTTACTCTGGACACTGTCTACACTATTTCCTGTTATAAAAATAGTAGTGTCATCAGCGAAAAGTGTTGGCTTTCCATGTTCTAAGCTAGATTCTAGGTCGTTAATATATATCAAAAATAACATTGGTCCAAGAACAGAACCCTGTGGAACACCATATCTTATTGGTTTCTTTTGCGATAGACAATTAGTAATTTCATTAGTTTCTTTATGTCTATAGGTAATTTCCACTGTTTGTTCCCTGTTTTCTAAATATGATTGAAACCAATTTTGTGCAACCCCTCGTATTCCTATTTCTGCCATTTTTCTAAGCAAAATATTATGATCTACTAAGTCAAATGCTTTTGACAGATCCAAGAATAACCCTATACTTATTTCCCTCTCGTCCACAGATTTATAAACCCTTTTAAGAAACTCTGCAATTGCAGTATTCGTTGATTTCCCTTTACAGAAGCCATGCTGTTTATCACTAATTATACTATGGTTTTTTAGAAATGATAAGAGTCTTGTCTGCATGATTTTTTCAATTATTTTTGAGAAAACAGAGATCAGCGAAATTGGTCTATAATTCCCAACTTCTGTATCAAGTCCTTTTTTGTACAATGGTTTCACTTTTGCAATTTTTAACTGGTCTGGAAAATATCCAGTTGAGAATGACAAGTTTATTATGTATGTCAAAGCATGTGTTATCTTAGGATAACACTTCTTAATAATATAATCTGAGATTTCATCTACACCGGTTGATTTTTTGTTATTCAATTTTTTTATTATGCCTGCCACTTCTACTTCTGTAGTTGGATTTAAAAACATACTACCACTGTTATATTTTTTTGCATTGACATTAACTTCAATATTTTTTTGTAGTGGATTTCTATTCAAGATATCGTGAGCAATGCTGGTATAATAGTCATTAAAGACATTAGCTATGACTTTTGGATCCTGTGTATTTGTTCCATTTACATTTATTTCAATATTCCTAGTTTCTTTTTTATGTTTGCCTAACTCCTGTTTAATTAGGTCCCACATAGCTTTAGATTTGTTTCCTGCTGTATTTATCTGTATGTTATTAGATAATTTCTTGGCCTCGCTAATTACTCTGTTGTAAATTTTCTTATACCAATAGTAATATTTTTAAACTCTTCTGATATGTTTCTTTCTTTCATTAATCTATTAAGAAACCTGAGCCTGGTGCTTGATACCCTTATACCTGAGGTAACCCACTTATTTCCTAGTTGATTAGTTTTTACCCACTTTTTAGGCATAGCTATGTTATAATAATACTGGAAAGTACCTAAATATTCATTATATGCATCATTTACTGAAGTTTGCCTAAAAACAGGTTCCCAAGACTCCTCCTCCAATAGGTAGTTTAGGTATTCAACATTCTCTTTAGTACAAGGTCTAACTGTTTAACTGCAGCTTGCCTCTTTTTATTTATATGCTGCATCTGTACTTGTAATATTGGTGCAAAATGATCAGAGAATCCTCTTGCTGTTACCTTAAAGTTGTAATCCCATAAATATTTATTTAATATTATTTGATCTATCGCTGTTTGACTTCTAAATCCTATTCTTGTTGGGACATCGACTATTGCTTGTAGACCCTATAAATTTAACATTATTTGTAATTGAGGATTTACACTGTTACCCAAGAAATCTATGTTGAAATCACTTGCAATAATAATGCTCTTCCTTTTGTTTGTTAAATTATTTATTATAGTATCCAGGATTTAAATAAATGTATTAATATTACTATTAGGAGTTGTGTAGACACAAATAATAATTGTATTAAACTTGGTAAGTTCAACCATACTGGCCTCGAAATGTTCTTCTTGATTCATGCTTTCAAGCAGGTTATAGGGCTTTGCTTCTAGATTTGATTTAATATAAATACACGAACC